ACGGTCTGTACAGTATAAAAACCATTACGCCTATGGAATGTCCCCATAAAACATGGAAACACAACATGTGTGTGCGTGTGTGTGTGTGTTTAACATTTTTCATTTAAATAGAAAAAAAAGTCAGATTCACGCCTGCTTTTATCATTATATCTTCGGAGTAAATCAATGTCTTTCTGCTCTTGGTCACTAGAGGGCGACAACATCCACTCAATTGTTTAATATCTTATTGGCATGATTTTGCACATTGTAGAATGCATCTAAAAGTCACAGAAAAAAAGTAATCAGTAATGGTAAATAATAAAAACAAAATCATAATAATTTAACATATAAAATGTAATTTAAATCTAAATATATAAATTTAAATATAATTTTTGTAAATGTATAAATAACTTTGTATTGTACAGCTATTGTTTAGTTCAAATATGAAATGGCTGCCATCATATTCTATTTCCATTAAGCTTTGCTTCATGACAGTATGTCACAGGCTAAAATCAGTGCTCTGAAGTAGAAATCTTGGAATTTTCTGCAAGTTTAGTACACATTGGTTAATTGTTTCAGACGTGACCAAGTCAAAATGTTTGGCTTAACACAAATACACTTTTATTTAGTTATTATTTAGAGACTGATTTTCAGATAGGTTAATTATCTTGATTTTGTTCTTGTTGGTATACCTGATCATTGTTCAGACATCATGCTTTGTCCTCTGGTTCTCCTTTGTCACCCTTTCCTGTAATCCCGTCTGGTAAGTGTCTTAACCCAAAGTGTGGATTAATCTACCTCTGAAGGACAGTTACCAAGATGTGTGTATAGTGTGTTCATGAAAAGGCTGCTGAATCAGCATCTCCAATACCGAGAGACAACAGTGGCATAGCAGAGACTGGCTCCGGGCCCAGTTACACAAGTGCCCAGCAGAAAGGATCTTACAGCACGCTGTGTGATTAGTGTGTTTGTGTTTTCTTTGCATTAGCACTTTGGACACACCCTTCTGTAAGTATCAGCACAACTTTCTTATCATACAGTTTGCATATAGACAGTGTGCATTATTTATTTGGAATCTAAAAGGCCACAAATGGTGCGCGAAGGAGACAGTGGTAATGCTGTGGATTGGGTTATTGTATTTCATCTGTTTAAATTGAGATCCTCTCCGACATGTGGGGGCGTCCACTTAATAATTGTAGTTCATAATGATAGCATATGCTTTTTAGGTTGTGATGAGAAAGACCAAATCAAGTCATCATGGTGCAGGTGCCTGTGAGTTGGTGCTTAGAGAAGACCGAGAGTGAACAGTCACAAAATGTTTTTATAGTATAACCAGAATAATATGTTGTGAAAATACACTGAAAATGACAGGGTTTCTTTAATTAGCCTCAAAACATTACTGTAACGTTTTGGTGTAATGCAAACAAAATCAGATAAAATTGCAATGTTGGTAAAACGTTTAGGTTTAGGCTTTAAAAAACCTACAATTGGACAGAAACCTTTTGAACGGGCACAT